GGGGGGTATATATCAGCAGCTACTACATGTCATAAGCCTCTTCTTCTACACACATGTAAAACAAAACATGTGTATAAGATGCGCCAGTTGAAAAACGTTTAACAAAAAAGATTTAATAATCAACAGTGACAGTTTTACGCTAAAAAAAAAAAAAGCAAGACTATCAGTTGAAACATAATGACTGGACGTGCATCAAAATCGAAAGAGAAGGGTAAAAATAGTAGGCCTGTAAAGTCATCCACAGGTCGTCAGCTCCAAAAATTCAACCAGCTGCTACCCACTATCAACAAACTTTCCAAATTAGACGGTACAGAAAGTTGTGTTGTTGTTTTTTACCTTTGAAATCAACAATGACTGAAATCTCAAAATCTAACACGATGTAAACTATTTATATCGGGGATCCAATCACCTCGTAATAGGACAACATACATAAAAATGGGCAAAGAGTGAACGCAATCTTTACAAAAAAAGAGCAACAACCAACCAACCAACCAATCAACCAACCAAACAAATAAAAATTAAAAATGTCAACAACACCCTGGCTGTAACCGCACGGGTACTCCGCCCCAGAAGAGACGATCACATCATCACAGAGAAACCGGACACACCGTCAGCTCAGTTGCTGTATATATATATATATATATATATATTATTATTATTATATACTAGACTAAGAAGCGTATGGCCCTGGTTTCAAATCTCCAAGGCCGCATTTTGAAATTTGGTTGTTGTTTTTCTGTTTTGTTTTGTGTTTTGTTTTGCTTTACACGGCTCTCCGCCCATTTGGCTCGGTTTTCTTTTCGGAGACGGGCGTAAAATATTCCGGGGTCGCTCCTCTTAAACAACCTGAACGTAACAGCGCTGAAAGCGGTGTTAAAAACCGTGTCAATGACGAATGACCAATGACAGAGAAACCCCCGTGAACAACACTATTGGAAGACCTTTCACACAACACAATGCACTGTGTCTGGCCGTGGAACCCCCCAACTTGAGGTATTAAACTGCCACCACTTGGCCCCAACCCCAATATACACAGAATTCAAGCAGCGATGGTGTCCACGTGAACAGCAAACGCTTCACACAAAATCACGACAAAGCGCTCTGCCTAACCTTACGGACCGGAGCGTATACATTGGCGAGAAAGGATCTCTGATAGCAAGGGGTTTTTAAGCCCCTTTCACACTACAAGCAATACATTTAAGAGGCGTGACCTCCGAGCGTAACGCGCATCTCCGATAGGAGCAAGCCTTTTTGGGATTCGAACCAGGGCCAACGGCACCCGTAGTTCAGCGTGAACTAACTGAGCTATCGGCGTCCCTTTGAGCACTCCTAAATCTGTACGTTTTCGGTTAGGAGTTCGGCTGCAAGAGCCCTGGGGGTAAAAAGGGGCAGTGCTCATAGGTTTTTAGTTTTTAATTCTTTTTTTTATGTAACTGATTTTACGCCTCCATTGACACAATTGAAATTATTCAAGAGGCAGGTTTCGAGCCTGCCTGTCAGGGCCAACCTAGGTTGATAGGGATACAACGTCTCAGAAGAAAGATCGAGGTACTTGATAAAAATTCTCCTCATAAGGGAATCGAACTCGTGTCTTCTGCGGGTGACAACGAAGCACCTGACTCCAACAACACACAGACGCCGGTCTCAAAGGGTTTTACGATCTTATGGTAGGAAAGATAATACACCTAGCCTTCTTGGACAAGGGCGAAAAATCTCGGAGGTCCCTTGTGCAAGCTGCGTACGTTAAAGATCCCTTGGTGGTCCAAAATCGATCAGAGTAGGCTTCCGCCGCCACTCAGGCAAAGTTCAACTACCAACTGAAAATGTTTATTGTGTCCCGCGCACTCAAGTTGCGAGCGCCGTATAACACCTACACCCCCAAAAGGGCTTTAAGTGCACCTGTACGCAAAGGGAGTTTAGAATAATAAATGGGGTTTTAAAAAAAAAGAAATCCAGTTCAGAAGCGGTGAGTGCTTGGCGACAAAAAAATGGAAGGGGGTGGAGTAAAAAGGCCGTGAACATCAATGTGCAGGCAGATCGTCAAGGCCCCAATGTTGTCTGAGCAAAGAGCACGGGTGATAGATACCCAGCAGGTTTGGGCCTGATGTCTTCATTCACGGCAGTTCATAATCTCCACTAGGGAGGGGGGGGGGCACGTGCACCACAGGGTTAATGATCTAGGCGACGATTTTTAACTCTTTTGAGACGTAGAGGTCACGATATGTCCTATCAGCAGAAGACTAAAAGCAATATTTCGGCACATTTGTTGCCATCATACACAAATCAGAAACACGAATCTGCATATTTCGTAGTATGCATGTTGTTGCTTGTCTTTATACATTTGAGATATAGGAGGAAGCAGAATTTTGAAATATGTGTATGAATTATGAAGTTATGCTTTTTTTTTTTTAAAGTGGCCTTAAACATGGCCTCTTTCAGCGTTGTCAAATGACCAGGAACGCGTGCCCTCAATAGGTTAACACATCTCACTTGACAAGAAAAATGTCCACTGCCTCAATGATTGGAATTGTTTAGCTCCCACAACTACAAAATTAAGATTATTTGGAAGGCCGACAGCATGCCGCGGCTAACTAAGGCTGAGTGGGATACAGGGGAGATACTCGTTAACATAAACTACCTCAAGCGGGGATCAAACTAAAGCCCTTTGCGGGCAACGGCCAAGAACCTCCACTACTTTCACAGCAGCGGTTCATGGCCCAACGCCAAACTAAACACAAACTGCCTTTAAATAAAGAGCCAGTTGGCCAAGGGATTCTATTAATCAAGTTGTGATTGCGCGTTACGTTCATGCTGATTAGATATCGAGTAGAACATTCCTACTTCCTGCAGGTCACATGTATAAACAAGAGTGAAGGGAGTGCGTCTGACAAAATCTCCAAAACCACACGGTAAGGATTCAGCTATCAGGAAACTCCCGGGAGGGTGAGGATAACAGGTGAATAACGTTGACGTCCGGAGCAAAAAGCCCAAGACTGATATATGTATATATTAAATATATATATATATATATATATCCAATAACACGGAATCAGTATAATCCACTACATCAAAGGGACATGTAGGCTGGCCTTGAGACGAAACGTTCATAATAGCTACCAAATAACATTTTAAAAATAGTTGATATCGTATAGTGACATAAAACAAAGATTTTTTGGGTGTTTCGTCTCCGGTCACATCAGCTTCTCCGGCCTTTCTTAATTCGCTCCCCACGTCATCGAAAGACAAGCGCGTGTGCGCACATAATTATAAAAATTGTGAAGCTTTCTTTTTACTCTAAAACAATCAAACATACAAAACTGGGGTTTCTGTTTTAAATGAGGTAAAAAGTAAAAAGGGAACACAAACAATACACACACTAACAAGCGTAACTCCTTTACCATATACACGTAGAAAGCTGGGACTGGACTGTGAAGAAAACAGCTAGATCTACGCTTTCGAGAACTGCAGTCCGAGTGAGGTGTGACTAAACAAGCTTTCGTCACCAACGACTGAATATGTAGTCTCATCAGAATCAAAGCTGCAGCATTAGAAGTAAAAGTACGTAGAAGGTAAACACC